GGAAGCTGAGAACTGGCGACTTTCTAGTACAACTTTAGTACGCGGAGCAATCTGTGGAGCTGGAAGCTGAGAACTGGCGACTTTGTAGTACAACTTTAGTACGCGGAGTAGCTGTGGAGCTGGAAGCTGAGAACTGGCGAGTTTCTAGTACAACTTTAGTACGCGGAGCAATCTGTGGAGCTGGCAGCTGAGAACTGAGAACTGGCGACTTTGTAGGACAACTTTAGTACGCGGAGTAGCTGGGGAGCTGGAAGATGAGAACTGGCGACTTGGTAGTAAAACTTTAGTACGCGGAGTAGCTGGGGAGTGGGAAGATGAGAACTGGCGACTTGGTAGTACAACTTGAGTACGCGGAGTATCTGGGGAGCTGGAAGATGAGCACTGGCGACTTTGTAGTACAACTGTAGTGCGCGGAGTAGCTAGGGAGCTGGAAGACGAGAACTGGCGACTTGGTAGTACAACTGTAGTACGCGGAGTATCTGGGGAGTGGGAAGATGAGAACTGGTGACTTGGTAGTACAATGACTTGGTAGTACAACTTTAGTACGCGGAGTATCCGGGGAGCTGGAAGATGAGAACTGGCCACTTGGTAGTACAACTTGAGTACGCGGAGTATCTGGGGAGCTGGAAGATGAGAACTGGCGACTTGGTAGTAGAACTTTAGTACACGGAGCAATCTGTGGAGGTGGGAGATGAGAACTGGCGACTTTGTAGTACAACTTTAGTACGCGGAGGTCGGTGACTTTCGAGAGGTGAAGAACTTGCAGAAAACAGGTGTTCCTGCGCTTCAGAAAGACATACAGAGAGACACATACACACACAGACATAGATACACACACACAGAGACCCACGCACTGCCTCAACACACTCGACTTAACACTTCACACTGAACACTTATAACACACTTAACAGATAACTCGCACTCTGACTTCCTACGTGATGAAAAATGCTTTCGGGCCACTCGTCGTCTAGTTGTTTTTTTAAAGGAATTTTTCTTGTTTTTCGTGGCTTCTGTGGCTTCTGTGGCTTCTGTGGCTTCGTGGCCTTCGTGGCTTTCGTGGCTTCTGTGGCTTCTGTGGCTTCTGTGGCTTTTGTGGCTTTCGTGGCTTCTGTGGCTTTTGTGGCTTTTGGCTTTCGTGGCTTCTGTGGCTTCTGTGGCTTTTGTGGCTTTCGTGGCTTCTGTGGCTTTTGTGGCTTCTGGCTTTCGTGGCTTCTGTGGCTTTTGTGGCTTTTGGCTTTTGTGGCTGTTTGCTACTAGTCCATCTTTGGAGGAATGTGAAGTCAGCGCCCAAAGGCTTGGTTTGTGAATTTGAGTCAGTCCATCAGATTCCAACCCACACTGCGGACTCGTTTGCATTGTCCGACATTGATGACTTCCAGCCGCTTCTTCATCACATTTCTTGAGAGTCCTGATTCAGGCCGCCATGTTCATCCTTTGGAAATGCTTGCAATGCAGCAAGCAAGCAAGCAAGCAAGCAGGCAGGCAGGCAGGCAGGCAGGCGCGCAGGCAGGCAGGCACGCACGCAGGCAGGCAGGCAGGCAGGCACGCAGGCACGCAGGCACGCAGGCACGCAGGCACGCAGGCACGCAGGCAGGCAGGCAGGCAGGCAGGCAGCCAGCAGCCAGGCAGGCAGCCAGGCAGCCAGGCAGCCAGGCAGCCAGGCAGCCAGCCAGCCAGCCAGCCAGCCAGGCAGCCAGGCAGCCAGGCAGCCAGCCAGGCAGCCAGGCAGCCAGGCAGCCAGCCAGCCAGCCAGCCAGGCAGGCAGCCAGGCAGCCAGCCAGCCAGCCAGCCATCCAGCCAGCCAGCCAACCAGCCAGCCCGCCAGCCCAGCCAGCCAGCCAGCCAGCCAGCCAGGCAGCCAGGCCAGCCAGCCAGGCAGGCAGGCAGCCAGCCAGGCAGGCAGGCAGGCAGCCAGCCAGCCAGGCAGGCGGCAGCCAGCCAGGCAGCCAGCCAGGCAGGCAGGCAGGCAGGCAGGCAAACGATGCCCCTGTACCAAACGGAGAGCGTCCGATGCCGACGTGCTTGGGCATTATGACCCATGCATGTTTCGACCCACGGGATGTGTATTACATGTCCGACCGATATTGTTTGGTCGCGGCGAGGGTGACGCTGTGTCAAAGTCCCAAAGCTGTCGTCGTCTGGAATCTGGAGGGATGTTACCCTCTGAGATTCTCAGACGACTGGACTCGGGCCTACGTCTCTCTCGCAGAGAGTGGGCGTGACGATGCAATGCATGCGGTTTGCCTACTCTTTCCCTATTTCGAACCCAAGTTGCACTTTGTCGACTGCGGGGAGAAGCCCGGGCCTTCTTTGTCGGCCGTCACGACAGCTTGCACTTCGGAAGAGGTCCCAACCGAGGGAAAATGCAGGGGGGAGGCGGCGGTGCAAGTCGGATTACAGGAGCGGCGTCCGAAGATGCCCAAAAGCTCTGACCCCGACGTCTGAGAGCTGCTGAAGGCCTTGCAGCATATCCGGCCGTTGTCTGACACAAAGATGGTGGCCGATCTCACCGAACAAGCCAGGGGGACATGGTGTGTTCCCCTACAAGTCGCAATGGATTTGTGCCCTACAGGGACGACCTGTTCTGCGCGTGGATGGAGGGACCGCACAGGTCGCAGATTGCCTCTTGCTGCATGCACAAGTCCGCAAACTATGTGATGCAGAAGTTGATCGCCCACGCCACCGCTTCGACTATTGCTCTTTTTGCCGGAATGCTGGCGGAGTCCAAGATTGCAAGCAGACTGACAGAGGACCAGGTAGGCTGCCGCATCGTCCAGCTCACGTTGCTCCATCCCAATCTGACATCTGAGATCGCTTTCAAATTGGTCAAATCCCTCGTCCGGGTCACAAGCTGGTACAACTTGCTCTTCCACCGCTGGGGGAATTTCGTGCTGCAAACGATCTTCCTGTGCGAAGGCCTGCCCTTGGCCAATCGCTGTGAGATCTTGACGAA